TAAGGGGGGAGGGGGGAGGGCGAGTGAAGATGGGGGTAGGTGAAGAGAGACAGAGGGAGAGTTCGAGCTTAAAACAAGTAAAACTGACAATCAATGTGTTTCAATGACTTCGTACTTCTTTTTAACTCTGTGTCTCAACCCTTATTAAAATTCAATCCCCACATCTCTCTTGGCTCCCCATTAAAGCCAAAATAGTTTGGGAAGTAAAAACGATTTAGAAAATCGTTTAGAAGAAAAAAAAGAAAGAAAGAAAACTCAGGCTCAGGTGAAAAATCCAGAGTAATCCTACTAAAGAGCTTTTTCCCGCGTTTTCGGTTCACCTTTTACTCAGCACTTTCTTTTATACATCTAGGAGTTTCAGGTGGGAACGTTCCGATACATGTCACCCGAGGTACTCGAAGGTGCAACCGAATTCACCGTACCGGCATTCCAACGAATTGATGTATACGCTATGGCTTTGGTGAGTGACCTTTTGAATGGGTCTGTTGAACAAGAAACTACTTGAGAACAATCTACCGCAGAAGTTGATAGAATGTTCTCGTCTTTCCAGGTGTTGTGGGAGGTGCTGTCACGTACGCGACTGAGCGAGGATGATGATGATGTTCCTCCATACAAACAACCTTTCGAGGAGTACACCAGTCCCTACCCGAGCCTTGGTGAAATGAGAGACGTCGTGGTCAGCCGTAAGCTTCGTCCCGAATTCCGTCCTATGGCGACGAAGCATCCGGTAAGCTCACGTTGTAGTCGACCTCTGGATCAGAGCGCGACAAGTTTAGGAAGTCTTATGAAAATTTTGGTTCATACGGGTCGATTCCCTTTTTAGGTTGCTGGTGCGATTGAGTACACGATCCGAGACATGTGGCATACGATAGCGGATGGAAGGATCACAGCAAGTTTGGCTCGCGAACGGATTAACGCGATGAATGGCTGTGATTCGCAAGGCTCTGAAGGATATCATTCAAGCAGCGGTTGGTGTTCATCTCCAGTAGTTAACCTCTCCGATTTTCAACGAAAAGGGTCCTCTGTGGGCCCCATTGGTATCCACAAGAGTTATATGAAGGTGGAAAGCAGGCGGGGAAGACAGTCTTCATTCTGAGTGGCAAGTATACCAACGGGAAAGCTTGAGTATTGGGATAATTGCAAATTTTCTTCTCTTTTAGTTATTTTAAGGAGTACTAGCGCTAACCCACCAAATACGAAAAGGGGGTGAGGGCATGGCATCCGTTCTCGATGTTTTTAATCTTTAGACGACTAAGCCGATTCATATGCCTTATAAGGGAAGTAGACATGAAAGTTGATTTCGCGATTCTTGCTTAATTCGCAGTTCCTTCCTCCTTGTATTTAATGAAATTCATTTAACCTATGAAAGTAGCAATTTGCGCTTACCATCCCACATTATTGATTAGAGGAGACAAACGTGGGCGGGACCTGTTTGGAAGGCGGGACTTGTGTTCGAATTACCACGGACGCGCACGCATAAGGAGCCACTGCTTTACGGTGTACTCGCAACATCCAACTGCAGTGACCGTAGTCACTGTTAAGCAAAAAGACCGTGCGCTCATTCTCTCCGCTCTCATCCCGACAGCAATCTGTGAGTGTGTATTGCGATTTCGCCTGTCCCATCATTTATGAATTGTTAATGAACTACCGTTCAAGGGGCTTTTCCTGGAACTTTTCCCCATGCCCATGCCGCATCTGCCGCACTGTTTGAACGGCTGTCCTGCATCCATTCATGCTCTAGCCCTCTTTTAAGATAACCATCCACCTGGCGTAAAATGTTCTAAAATCAGTTTGGAAGCTTTATCACAACTTAATTTTCAATTCTCTTTTTTCAGATCATAATCGGAAAGTATCTGTGGCGTCCACAATCAGTGAAGAAGACGGTTGTGCACCTGCGGACAGCAGTTTGAGCAGTAGCGACTACAACACCGCCATCGGTGGCCTGAATCAGAACCAGGAGCTGTTGAACGAAGCAATGGACAGAGAGCGGTGATACGTACTGAAACTCTACAGAACTGTCTCTTATTAGGCAGCCTCCAGTGGCCGTACGAAGTACGCGAAAAGTCTGTCCGAAAAAGGATATCGGCAGCGCTTGGAATCAGATAGGCGCATGTAGGACGTGTTGACCGCAAATCACTAGACTTCATTAGATTTTATCGAAATATCGTGCCGTCTTGGTCGTGATCTCAATATCAGCGTAGAAGAAAAGGGTAGCCAGTCTAACCCATTATCGAAGGTCCTCACGAGGGGTTGACTCTGAAGAAAGCCTCGAATGCTGCCGGTGGATTGCGTAGCATCATTGAAATGACGTATTTCTGGGATTGACGATAGGTTCGTGTTTGAAGGGAATATTTTGAAAAAGAAATCGTGACCAGACCAACCATGGTCGTCTAAGAGCCTTTCCAAACGAGTTTCATCGAAAAAATCCACCTGCACGAGTGCAAGGGAAGACCTCACCGTGGAGACCTCACTGGTGTTTTGCAAACGTGGTTTCCCCGTTCTTGTGTTCCATTATCTCATGGAAATAACAGGGCAATTCCACTTCACCCACATTATCGATAGGAGGAGGCAGAGGTCCTCTAGAAGAGGCAGGGGTCCGTGGGATGCAATAAATGCCACGGTGTCAACCAAAGAAGTGGTTAACCCGCCCATTTTTGAACGAGATTCCTCCCTGGTCTATCCCTCACTCACATGAAACGCCCTTTCGTTTACGCTTTGTAAATATGTCCAATAACAGTGCAGAAGTTTTTTCTTTAAAATATTTTTTTTATGTAAGTACCTCTTCATGCGTTAAGCATTTCAGTTCTTCGTTATGTCTGTGGCTTTCAATGAATGTGTACTGTTCAGGTGTATTTGCTCCTTTCTCTACTTACTCTAAAAATCATACAATGTAATTTATTAGATATTTAAAGATGTTATCATGAAGTCTTCTCGATGAATTTACAAAATCTTCCCACGTTTTTTGTAGAGTACTTTTTTTATTGACAGTTTTCTATACTTGCTGTGATACTTGATAGTTAAGTGTAGCCCTTTCTAATATGCTAGTCAGTAGTAAGTGAGAGTGCATGATTGTTTTTTTTTCTTTCAAAGTTATTGGAAAATTTGTTTATCTGTTATCAGTCGATCTTATCGATTAGGTCTGTCTGTTAATGATTTCGCGGGTGCTTCTACAGGATAATGATGTTACAAAAATGATTGTTCATAACAACAGAACATGATATTGTTGATATGTTAATAAGTCTGCCTGTATAAATTTAATAAAAATGTTTCTTATCAGAGGCTTACTGTAGAACATACCATCAGGCGGAATGAACAGCCAAGAATGTGGCCGTACTGCTAGTTCCTGTTGAGATGGTTTTTCGGGATGCGCTCTCGCATTTGACTCCCATTCAGAATCGCAGTAGTAGTGACGGTTTGAATACATGTGGGGTCTAACAATCACTTGGGATGGCCAACAAGTCAATGCATTTGTACTCCTGGACGAGTATGGTACAAACAAACCGACTTCAGGGAGATGGACAACTTTGTTGGCCTGGGCATGTATAATCTGGGATTCGATCCCGGAACTAATGGTCTGACAGTGTGCACCACTTACCATTACACCATCTGAGATATCGAATATCGGACTACAATTTCGACCTCAAGACTCACGGAAAACTGGGATGCTCTTTATGGATTTCAGGTTAAAGCCGCAGTTCACGATAATTTTACGGTACCTGCTTTTGAACGAAAAATGGAATAGTAGCTCGGATTAGGGTAAAAGGTGAAGAAAACGCGAAAATCGGCACATCCAGAGAATCTGAGACTTCAATAAAGCGGTAAAATAAGGGTTGGACGAGAATGTGACAAAAGTTGCATGTAAAGGGTATTTTAACGAGCAGTCAAATATTTGTGCAATTGCGTACAGCTGGCACAGTAAGTCAGAAATGTCAAAAATTGCCTTTCAATCAATTGATGATCCTGACATGGGTGGTTTTATTCTGCGCTACTCTCGCTCTGCGGACAGAAGTGTATCGCTGGGGTTATCCGGTCCTGGCCATCGGTGGGTGTGGCATTCAACCTTTACAATCACTAAGCCCTCTAAAACGTTTTTTCCATTCGGTTTCGTCTCATATGCTGTACTTGGGGGCCAAAGATTTATGTTACGTGTGAATATCTTGAAAACCCATTTTTCGTGAACTGTGCCTCTCAATAAAATGGTTTCCGAGTGCTTTCTCTGGAATACAAAATGGCCCCCAAGGGTAACAGGGAGGACGCTGTCGGGTCTAAAAACTCAACCGCTAAGGCATAGTGAGAGCCCCGTTACCGGATCGCCCGGATTTCCCGCCCCTCGATCGATGTCACGTCAGACGCCGTCAAAGTGTCGAGGCGATACAGACTGCAATATTCTTTTTAGGATCAACCCACAATCAGCTGATCGCTGAGTAATGGGGCGATGTTTTCCTTCTATTCTTTTGCTATCTGTTATTCTTTTTGCTGTTGCGAACTTAATTTTCCACCCCACTAGGCTGAAAGGTGCGCTACTTCTGCTGTTCCTAGTGTTTTTTGTCAACTTATGCTTATGAGTAAATGAACTCTTAAAATCATTTTTGCTCACCGTAGTCAGCTATTCGCACAAGGACCCACACGTACGCAATGACGCACGTTGTATAGCTCGTCTAAACACTCATTCCTTTTCGTTATTCTGCCCAGCCCCCTTTTTAACGATTTTTTCGAAACCTTTTATCACTTTGAAAACGTCGATTCGCGCTCTTTCTTCGCCTTCATCGCTTCCATCGCACTACTTTCCACCTTACCTTCCAATTTCTTCTTCATTATCTGGACTACCCAAAACTATCGTGAACTGAGCCTTTGAAGAGCTTCCTAAGCCACTGCATCATCAAATCCTTGAGAAGGTTTCACACTTAACCCCTATAACGGCCCGTAGGTTGTAGAGCGAAAGCAGAGTTACATGGGAGAGCCCTGTAATTGCACGAAAGACACGGTTGATGTTGCCAGGTTTTGCCATTCACTTTGATCGCCTATCTTCTGATGCTCTCTAGTTTAGAGATCAGTCTCGCCCAACCAGGTTGAGATAAGCTGCAATCGCAATGGGACCCGATGTGAGAGGCACACCTCTCAGTTATGAACAATTACCCAATTCATTCGCAAACATGCAATTTGTCACTCAACGAATCACAGGTTCGACTTTCCTGAGATGATACGAAGGTGGCGTCGGGATCAACGCCTCACAATGTTTCACAGCAGACGTTTATCGACTGAATCAGCAATCGACATGCAAAATAGCAAGTCCACTTGGAAGACGAACTTCGCCATATCGCTATTCTGTCCCAACTTTGCTTTCTGTTGAATTTGGCATAACAGAATCCAATCAAATCTGCTCTTTGAGAGGATCGACGTTGGTCTCAGAATTCCTAAATCTAGTTAGTGGCATCCACTGAGCGGCTGCTCCAATTCTCCATCAGCATATGATATTCCTTGAAATTTCCATGCACTGCAAAAATATTTCATTTTTTACAAATGGACGTAGAAAGTTCACGTGCTCACGGCACAGCGTAGTGCTTCCGTGGCGCAATCGGCAGCGCGTTCGGCTGTTAACCGAAAGGTTGGTGGTTCGAGCCCACCCGGGAGCGAAACTTTTGCATGCCTCGGTGTCTTTCCTGATTTTTCTCAAGTGGTTTTTGTGAATGCGGGATCTGATATGAGTATACAAAACGTCTACCTAATACGAGTATAGAGCACCGGTTTCATTTGCACCGAAATTTCATGCATCATTGGAGGCATTACGTCACATAGTGTGGGTCTGGGGTAAAACTAACATGAGCCAGAATGACTGTGGCAGTGTTAGTTAGACTTCAGTTTCTACAGTGACCAAATGGTCTTTTGGGGATCGTCTTTACCAGTTTCAAGCAGTTAGTAATGGAAACTCCTACTCTTCAAGTGGTATCAATACATCTATACCATTTCTATTTCCTACAACTTTGACAATTACTACCGACGTAGTTGTATGGAGTCATCGTAGATCACGTTAACGAGTGCTGGTGAAAAATGTCAACCACCCAATTGGGCTGTCCATACTCTCAGAGATCCTGTGCGGTATTAGAAATCGCTACGAGGCAATGCTCCTCGTTTTTCGCTTGATTGTTCCTCTTTTTCTGTTTAAATCGTTGGTTTTCTTTTTCCAAGCTGGTCTTCGATATAAGTGTTCGAAAATATCTTTCATGCATTGTTATGCTCCTTTTCAGACAAAAAAAAACAAAATGAATTGGGAAAGGGAAAAAGGAAAGGGCGAAAAAGGAAAATGCTGAAGTGAAATGTTCGATGGTTCAACAACGAGCCTTTTCTTGGAAAAGTGCGCACGACTGCATCCCTCCCACTTGTGGATGTTTTGGTTTTCAAAATTTCACTTTTGGAAACAGTTATACTGTCAAGTGAGCCGTAGTTCTACTCGTAACCCTTTCAGACGAAGTAGATGGCAGCCCATTTCGTAGATCGATGTTGGGACCTGGTGAGCCGTCGACATTTAACGATCCACCGACTCACCAGGAATCCTGCACACCTCGCAACCATCGGTGAGTTTGACTTGGGTTTCAGAATTCCACAACTCCAGTAAAGGTTATGATAACTATAATCAAGAATACTGTAATATCACTTCAATTTTTCTAAATATACTAATTTTTAGGTTTTCGTGCACTTTTGGGATTAACAAAAGGATCGAGCCACTAGCTCGGCCTTGAGATTGGAGTCACAGGAACAAGATTTCGAATACAGGGTATTTTGCTTTCTATTTGTCTACTTCAGATCCACATGGACGATCGTGGCGAGTGTCGTCCCGTGGGGAGGCGTTCGTCGCCTTCTTCAGTTCTTCTTGTCCAGTCAGCTGGTGTTTAATTGCCTTGTCCTGCATGTTCTATCCTGCTGTGCGTCAATCCGAGCCTGTTCGTGTCTTCTCCCGGTTACTACCTCAAAAGGGGGACCCGGTAGCGCATACACTGACAGATGCGGGAAGGAAGGGACATGGGTGGACAGACAAAAATGGAAGAGAACAATCTCGAACAAAGCGGAAGACACGAACAGATTCGGTTAGCACTCTCTAGCATAGAACATGCAGGACGAATACAGCAAAACCACGCACCGATTCGACGAGAAGGAGGTTAGCACTCTCTAGCATAGAACATGCAGGACGAATACAGCAAAACCACGGACCGATTCGACGAGAAGGAAAGAAGAGGATGAGCGATTGGTCCATCCCATCCACATCCCAGCTCCAAAGAAGAGGATGAGCGATTGGTCCATCCCATCCACATCCCAGCTCCCAGATGGACGGCTTGGACCATGGTTGCCTACAGGAATCTGAAATAGACGATTTGAAACGACACAAGAATGACCACGCAGAACAATGAAAAAAGGAAAAATTTGAAGAAATGAAAAAATTGAGCAGCAGCCCCACCACAGCACCTGCCACCGCATAGGATTTGAGTATAAGCTCCCCTACTGGGCTATAAAAATTTTGAACCTGCACTCGTTATCTCGATGAACGATTATTTCATTCAGTTGCACTGACAGTGTTCCTAGGGAAAAAATTATTTCATAGTGTCCATATCATTGGAACAGTCGATGGATTTAACTACCAACTGATTAAAGTCCGGCTTGGGCCGGTCTCCAAAGGCGACCTTTTCGTTGTGGAAACACTCAATCCACGGTCGTCACTGCGACTGCCACGTCTTAGCTTCATTGCACTGCTCAAAACAAATGAGGGTGTTAGCAAATGGTCCGGACAATTTGTAGTCGTTAGAGCTCATGGAACCCGGGATCTTTCCGGAGTACGATTCTCCACCTGGTAGAAGTTTTGTGTGTTCGACTGAGTTTCATGATCTCTGTTGGGTGCTCATGAAA